TTTAAATTTTAATAGTCATCATCCTTACCATACCAAAAAGAACATTCCATTTGATCTTGCAAAAAGACTAATCGTATTTACATCTGATTATACCACAGAAAAAATACGTTTAGCAGAGCTTAAATTATGGCTGAAAAAATGCAATTACCCGGACAATGTTATTGAAAAAGCATTTCATAATGCAAAATTGCAAGGACCAGCTCAACAAAAGAAAGCTAAAGAAATCTTTCCTTTAGTCACTACATTTTGCAGTAATATAAACTGCGAGCCTATACTAACTAGAACTAATCTTCTATTCAGTCCTCTAGTGAAAGAATACAACAAATCTTTTCTAATATTAACCCTGTAATAGCTTACAAACAACCACCTAATTTACTGAGACAACTTCTGCCAAATTTAATTCTGTACCACCTAACAATAAAAATATAGGAATTTTTAAATGTAATGATAGTTGTTGCAAAATTTGTCAATTTTACCTGCAAGAGGTAAAAAAATTTGAAACATCCAATGGTACTATCTGGACCATTAAAAGTCATGTTACTTGTAACAGCAAGAACGTCATTTATTATTTAAAATGTTTATCGTGTAATGGCCAAGCAACATATACTGGAAAAACAAACAATTTGAGAAATTGCATAAATGGTCATATATCAAGTTGCAGAACCGGCCATTCAACTGACAGATTTGACAACCATGTGTATGGTTGCCAACATATAAACAATAAAATAGCGGAACCATTTTTCCAACTTTTTGTTTTTCTAGATCTTAAAAGTGATAAAAATTTATTGTCGTATGAAAGTCATTTGCAAAAACAAAAACATGATACTTTTAACTAACACTTCCTGTTTTAAAGGGCATTAGCAATGGTAACTAATAGCAACAATACCTAAATTGGTTAAAAATTATACTTTTTCACATAAAAATTTTTTTTTTTTTGCATAACAGCACTTAAACTAGCACTTCTGATGAAACATTGAAAGGCCTCTAGTGTTAAATATATTTTGTAGTATTTTGTTAAATATCTTTTAGAAATATTAAAAACTTTTTCTGAAGTTGTTATTTTGCTTGACATACATTTTTCATTTTATTGGTTAAATTATATTAATAGTTATATATATATATATATATATATATATATATATATATATATAATATATATATATATATATATATATATATATATATATATATAATAACATTTAAAAGTTTTTTGAATAAAAAATATTTTAAGTGGTGCCTCAATATTGATAAAAAAGCATATATCAAAAGTATCTTGTTGGGTCACAAATGAAGAGAAATTGAATAAAAATTTCAAAAATAATAATTTTATAAAAAAAATATTTTATTAAATTTTATAAAAAACATATTATTTTAGATTTTATTGCCGAGAATTTATTAATGTTTTTATAAAATAATAGTTTTTTCTGAAGTATTTATATATATACATATATATATATTTTTTTTCTAATGAAATTAGGGAGCCAAGGGTCTTGAGACACCACTAAAAATATTTTTTATTCAAAAAATTTTTAAAGCCAGTTTTATTTTATAATATAGAACACATCAAGGTGAGAGCTACAGATATTTTTCAAAATTATTGTTTTTTTGAGAAATACAATGTTTATTTCATATATTTGTCACCCTAATATTTAATCATTTTCATAAGTTTTTTTATTTAAAGGGGGTTTAAGGGACCCTAATATAAATATATAAACATATATATATATATATATATATATATATATATATATATATATATATATATATATATATATATATATATATATATATATATATATTATATATATATATATATATATATATATATATATATTTATATATATATACATATATTATATATATATATATATATATATATATATATATATATATATATATATATTTATATATATATACATATATTTATATATATATATATATATATATATATATATATATATATATATATTTATATATTATAAATATATAAAAATACATATATAGATATATATATGTGTATATATATTTATATATATATATATATATATATTTTTATATATTTATAATATATAAATATATATATATACATATATATATGTATTTTTATATACTTGACAACTTTTTCATTTTCAATGGTGGGAAATGAAAAAATTGTCAAATTTTATTCTTTTTTATCAACTTTTAGCAAATGAATATTGATGTAGACATATGAAAGTTTATTTAAAATATATCTATAGTACTAAAATTAATTTATAGAAGTCATTTTTATGCTTCCAAAAGTTACATTTTTTTTCATTGTCACATCATAAAAAAGTGTCATTGTAAAATCTTATTTTAACCATGGATTTATTTGCATAATCCAAATTAATTTAGTGTGAAAATAGAGCTAACATGTTCAACTTGTTGTTGTTCAGATTTTAGACATATATATATATTTCAATATTTAATAAATATATATATATTTCAAGAAAATAGCGAAAGAATCTTTGTAATTTTCATGTAACGTAAGTTAATAAAAACATCATTAAGTTTTGTTTTTTTCTAAAATTTCGTTAAAAAAACTTAAATTTCTTGATATATTTTGCATATACTTAAATAAATGCGAAAAAATATTAAATGTTGCATTTTTACATTTAAAGTTTTGAATAATGATGCTTAGTTAAAAATCATTTTAATTTTTAACTTGTTTAATGTAAGTTAAAACTACATCCATTTACTAAAGTTATTTTTGGTAAACTTTTTGTTGCTTAAAAAATAAACACTTATGTTTTTACGTAATTCTTATTTGGTTAACACTTTTGTTTTAGTAAACGAATCGTTTGTAAATGCAATTTACAAACGATTCGTAAAATCCATAAAGTATGACAGCCTATATTTGTCAATTTTTAACCCCTTCCCTCCTGTCACAAGAGATCACATATACCTGCACTCATTTTCCCTCCTAAACTGTGTTACGTTTTTACGTCAAAAATATTTAAAGAGATTTAAATGTTAGTACTATGCAGCAATTTAAAAATTAAACTTAATGAAAATAAGGCAATACACATAAACATAAGAAGTGTAAGTAAAACCAGAAAAACTATCGGTTTGATAACTTTCATAAATGTTATGAAAAATCACTAAGAAAGTGTGCCACCAGTTTTTGAAAA